GAAGACAAGTGTTCAAACTCAGAGAAATTATGGTCGAGGGATGTGACCAGAGGGCTGAGGAAGGAGAGAACAACTTCCTAATTTTATTTGTAGGACTGGCTGTAAGTACCAAGACGCAAAAATATCTTCCTTCTGCAAAGCTGTTCAGGTACCTTCACCATGAGGAGAGTAACCTCATCTCATCAGTGTCATACATATTCCAGTTTTGTCCCAGAAGTCAGGGTGCATCTGCACATTTGAAGAGTGATGGTAGAACAACTGCATCCCCTCCCTGGGGATGGAGGGTTCATGTTTGGCACAAGCTTCAGGACTTCAAAGACAGCATCTAAAAGCAAAGCCCAGATAGCTTGAAACGGTGCAGACATGCAAGGAAAAGGCTTTGTGCTAAACCCAGGGATCAGATTCAGTGTCAGCAAGTAAAAAGAAAGTTTCAGGAGGAACATGCTTTCCACTTGCCCCAAGGTAATGTTTTTTGATTCCTGTGCAGTCAGTGAGCTAGAGCTTTACTGAGACTCTTTTTTGGAGGAGAAACGTGTGAAAGCTGCTGGGAAACAGCTCCTTTCTGTTTGATGTTCATAATTCATGCAGCAAGAGGATTTTGCTGGCAGTGTTTTTGCTAGAGGAGCAAATAAGAGTGATAACTGAAGTGACCTGGGGGTTAGTGGACAACCATATTTATGTCAGTAGTGCAGTGTGGTCCAGGCAGTGGTGACCTTGTGCTGCTGAAGGGCTCTTGAGAGACGAGAGGAATGTGCCAAGTCCCAAACTGGTCAAGCTACAGACCTTGCTGTAGGCAAACCAGCATGGGGTGCTCTTCAGGGTAAAGACTATGGGTCCCAAGAGAACCTGTGATAAATCACTTGCATCGGCTTCTAATTCAAAAAAGTTTTTACTGTTTGGGATTTTTGTTTGAGTTTTTTGTGGGGACAGGGCAGGGGCTGAGTTAATTCTCCAGGCTTTGTGTTTTACAACAGACTTTTTTGTTTTGTGTAAATAAGAAATCTGGCATGGTCTGTTTAAAAATACTGTGGCAGGGTTTTAGACTGCTTCCTGCTTAGGACAGAGCAGTATAAAGTTCAGATCATGGTGACCTTGAATATCAAACCTGTGGCTTCTATTTATTCTCCTTTTGCTGCTTAGGTTCATTTACATTCAGTAGAATATCATGTTGCTGTGACACTTTACCTGACTCTAAGAATTGCAAGTGTTTGGTTTTTTTTTTTTTCCCCCTGTTCTTAAATGCTAATTTGAAAGGATGGCAACTCAGAAGCAGTTTGCTGAGTTGAACATTATTCAGTGGGGTAGTTTGTCTGCAAATCTGTCTGAAATACTGACAAAGGAATGTCATGAATAACTTACAAGTCTTCTCCTTGAGGAAGAAACTGTATTTCAAATGATGTGTTCCTGGTTTATCCATCATTACTGTGCATGCATGGGAAGGCTGTAGGTTATGTCCTTCCAGAGGATATAATTATGTATGTCCTTCTGAATTATACAGCAGAATTCATCAGCATATTGAAACAAGACGTTGCTGTCAGTGGTGTCTGAAGACCAACAGAACAGCCATGGGTGAGAGGCTTTCAGGTGAACACTTGCACCTCTGACACTTGTCTTCAGTTGGGCATTTTTACAGAGTTAGGATCATTCTCAAAACCTTGAGTGAAAATACAGCTGTTCATCAAATGGTTAAAAATCAGCTTTCTGCACACAGAACCTTGCTGGAATGGTTTCACTGCACTGCCTCCTCTCCCTTTTGATGGATGTGTTTGACCAACCTTAGGACAAGTATTTTATATCTGTCTTTACATTTGAAATGAGATTCCTTCCTTTAGAAGTTTGTCTTAGGTATTTGATCAGTGTGGACAAAAATAGATAGCTTTTACAGAGACACTTTGACTTCTTACAGCGGAGGAATTGCTGAGCAGTGAGGAGAGGAGTGGGACTGAGCCCATGGCTAAAACCAGCTCTAATTGCAGCTGCTCAGCACTGAGACTTTACCCCAAGTAACTGTCTGTCATGAGATGCTGTCCTTGTCCTTCTTGTCTTATTTTGCTCCTGGCGTTTCACGAAGAGAATAATGTCAGTGTCCCGGGAGTGTTCCACTGAGAGACAGAGATCCTGGAGTCTGAAACTTCATTTCTGGCAGAAAGTCTGTCTGTGGCATTGGCTTGCAGTGAACTGCCATGCAGCAAAGTGAAATGGAGGCCATCACATTTGAAACAGTTCTCTTTCTTTTCTTTTTTTTTTAATTCTAGAGACGTGTGTGTGAGTGGAAGGACGAGCTGAGTAATTGCCCAGCCCAGGTCCCCGGGCTGGTGCTTCACAGCCTGAAGCAGGGCAGGAGCAGAGGGCTGGCTGTCCTCTGCACTGCGTGGGTGTGTGGCTCTCATTAGCCACTGGGTGCTGTCAGTCTCTCCTCAGCTCATCTGGGCTGAGCAGTCACGTTCTGGACCTTTCCCAGGGCTGCCCTTTGGCTTCTCTGCCTCTTTCAGGACCAGCGTGGCACTCACAGCCAGGCTACCGTTCTTCCAGGGGAAGGCTCTGTGGTTAGTTCATCCTCACCAGCACAGAGCACTGCACACAGGATGTTCCTGAGCTCCCAGATTTTTGCAGTGCCTTGCCTTGCCTCCCTTCCTTCTCCCACCACCCCTGTGCTGGTTAACCCGTGATCAGGCTCCTGAAGTAGCAGCTTTGCTCTGCGTCAACGCGTCTGCGCAGGGAACACACTTCCCAGTTTGCTCATATTAATATATATCTGTGGGCTTTTGCCCACTCCAGACTTAGCAGTACTCCAGCATCTCCCATGCTGTTAGCCATCTGTCCTGACAAACACAGTCCCGGGAGCTGTCACAGCCGTTGTGTCCCTTGGCAGGCAGTTCTCCCCGGCAGCAGGAAGACTCTGTGTGTCAGTACCCACGAGGGTGTCCCGAGATGCTCCATCGGGTTCAGGAGCAGCAGCAGGGCAATATTTTCTTACTGCCACCTTCTCAGATGGAGAGACCATCCCTGTACATCTGCCCTGCCCTCTGCTCTGCCAGCTCTGGCACTTTGTTTCTGGCTGTAAGCAGCACCCAGCACTTTGGGAGGTGGTGGAAAAGGCTCAAAGGGCACCTCTGGAAGATTGCAGCCCTGTGACAATTTCTGACATCTAGTAGTTGGCTTAAGCCTTGATCAAGGTGTTTTAGATCTGTTCCAGTGCTCTCTTTCAGCAGTCCAGCACTGGATACACTGGGGGAGCTGACAGCCCTTTGCTCCGCTGTAGCTGCTCAGTATGTGTTCAGTACTTGAATTAATATTTTCTTCTGTTTTGCATTTTCATTTGACTTTTCAATTCCCTGGACTGTGAGGAAGGGGAATGTTGAATAATTACCTGCTCCATAATAAATTAGTGTGAAAAGGCAACTGGTGCCATGCATCAACTTAAACTGCTGCCTAGTAAAGTTGCATTAATGTGTATAAATAATGTATATCTTTGCAGAGGAAGTGCTTTGTCTTTCTAATGAACAGTTGCCTGATTGGAGAGGCCCAAAGACTGTATATCCTCAGCAGAAAGGTTGTGTTTCATGTGTGCCTGGATGATTAAAGTGAATTCATGATCCTGTAAATGCAACTAGGAGAGATCTTTAGAATATGCTAAAGAACTTCAAAAGACCATGTGAGAAATCAGCTAGCAGAAACCATCTCAGGAAGAGGGATCAAGATTTCTGTATCTTAGTATTATTTTTAAGGACTGATGCAAACTGCCATTAAACTTTCATTTGTTGCCTTGTAGTAGGCAGCAAACATTTCACTGAGCATTTTGGTTCAGAAGTGGTTTGAAGAATAACCACGACAGCTGACTAATTAACAGCTAAACCAGGACAGCACCACTTGCATGTAGCTGAAATAAAAAGATAAGTCACTCAATTATGACATTTGTTGAAAGTCAAAAAATTGACAGTTCTTTGTGCGCAAAAATCCCCAAATTATTTTGCATGTTCTTAGCATCCACAGCAGTGGATGGCATCACTGATGGCAGGTGCTGCACAGTCATCCCTGTCCTGCTGCAGTGGCTGTAAAACAGCATCTCCTGTGTGTTTCTGATGGTCGCTTGGTTTTGGATGGGAAAAGGGCTCGTGCTTAAGTGAACATCCGAAGCACTTCCAGTGTCCATATATTTTAACGTTGTCCTAAAATCCTGTCTGTTCCACAGGTTATGATATTATAATGTTACATAAAGGCTGTAGCTGTGGACAATCTAGACTGTCCAGGCCACACTTGGCATCTCTAATCACACAGTAAAACTCTTCTGTTCCAGTTCTCAGAAAATTGGCATGGACAAGAGAGCCAGATAAACTAAGGTCAGGCAGAGAGGGAATTCAGGGAGAGGGAGCTTGTCCAGAGTAGTCTGACATCTTCACATGTGCAGGAAAATACAAATTGTACTTGCATACTGTATCAGTATGAGGCTGACCCAAAGAGACCTGGTGTGTGTGCTTGTGCTCTGGGATTCCTGTCTGAATCCTCACCGTGATTGAGCTTCAGCCTGATTGTACAGAAGTGATTTTTTTATTCAAATGCAACTTTTGTCAATGGTGTTTTTTGATTTCTGTTCCCCTCTGTCTCCTTTTGTCATTTAGCAGAAGTAAGTTTAGGTGCAAGGAAAGGGGAGGGGAAGAGAACTTTGCTCCCCTTCCATCTCAGTGCAGTATTTCTGTTCTAAGCCTGCAAAATGAAGCGTTAGAAAAGCAACTCAGCGGGGGAAACATTTCACTAGTTGTTTATACGCTCACACTGCCACTAAACAGAGCATGTAATGTACCTGTAAAATGAGCAGAAGCAGCCCAGTGTCCCCAGGCTCGTGCCAGTCTCAGTGAGAGCAGCAGCCTGGAGCAGAACTCTCCCACTCTTCCCGCTGGAAGGTGCACCATGCCCGCCGGACGGGCAGCGGGATCCCTGCAGACCTGGGGGTGGTGGCCACGCTGACACCGCTGTCTGTTCTTCTTTTGTCTCCTGCTCAGCTGAAGACATGGAGTGTGGATGAGCTCCAGAGGAGGCTCTCGGCCCTGGACCCCATGATGGAGCAGGAGATTGAGGAGATCCGGCAGAAGTACCAGTCCAAGCGGCAGCCGATCCTCGACGCCATCGAAGCCAAGAAGCGGCGGCAGCAGAACTTCTGAGCCACGGGGGGTAGAATGTTCTTCCAGCCCCAAACAATCAGCTCCTTGCTTTTGTGACTACTGAACAGATTGATTTCTATTGAAATACGCTAGCGAAATAGAGGGCAATACTTCTGCTCGTTTATTTTTCCATAGCACCTTTGTGAACTCAGGAATGCCGTGACCTGGAGGATCCTGGGGGTTGTGTTTTCATGTTAGACAGGTATTTAACACGTTATTGCAAAGGAGTTCTGTTACTGTTTTTTAGGAGGATTGTTTTTAAACCAGAGGAACAGATAGGAATAGGCTAATGAAAGTTGGCTCACTCTCTTTTCAGCTGAACTTTCAAGAGTCCATTTTGGTTTCAGTGAATATGGACTGTGGTATTTAACGGCTGCATCTTTTGTGGGTTTTTTGGTTTTGTTTTTCTTTGTGAATGCACAGACTCAATTTCAAGCTGTTAACTGTCTCTACTGTTAAGGTACTGATAAGTTTTAGGTCACTGAAGAGAGCAGGTGAGAACTTGTACAAACTGTTCCAGCCTTTTGAAAGAAACTTAAATCTCAGTTTTTAAAAGGCCTGTAATAAGCCCCATGCCTTACACTGTGTGCTTTAAGCAAGTGTGGTTTTCTCCAGACCTCAGTTTTGTCCTCTTTTTGTGTCCTGTATGAATTTATATGAGTAGATAAAGCATGTTGTGCCTCCATAAGAAATTACGTTCTGTCATTTAAAATCCACACCCATTTAAAACCAAAAGCCAGTCAGTGATCTGATTCCCCTTTGTCTGTCTGTCTGGAGATGTCCTTCAGGGAGACTCTGCTGACAATGGAGTGCTGAGGAAAGGAAACAGCACTTGAATGGGTGGAAGGAATAATCTCAGGAACTGGGTACTTCAGCTGTGTCTGAGAGGACTTAAAAAATCTCCACAGCTTGTGAAATATTTTATAGGCTTCATTTCAAATTTACATCTTTAGACACTTGAATAAAAACTTGGTTTCACAATCCTTCACATTTCTGCAAGGTTTAGCACATCAGGAGAGTTGAACTGGAAGTAAAGACTGTTGAATTAACAAAGATGTGCATTTATGGTGGTTGAGCAAAGGCGGAGGTGATCTGGATGAGAAGACAACTACTGATGTCCTGCTGGAAGAGGTTCAGTCTCTTCCAGTTTCTCTGGATGCTCCTGTGTTGGTAGGTTGTATTTTTTTTCATTTCCCTGCTGTTCTTGCCCAGTAAAGGTCAATCAGTGGCGATGCCCCAGCGTGTACAATCGCTGTGAGGATGGTGCAATCAGCTCACACCAGAGAGGGGAGAGGAAAACAGAAGCAAAGAGCCTCTTTGCAGGGCAAAGACTGAGCAGTGCCTCTGCCCTGTGGGCTGTGACAGCAGAGCCGTGTAGCTTTAGGTGTTCCCAGTATATGATGAATTGTTTGGACAGAGCAAGTATTTCTACCAATTTATTTTCATTTTGCTCTGATAGAGGGAACAGTTTCCCTGTCGATCTTCTGAAACAGGCCTTGGTACATCACCTAGATAATAAAACAGCAGTGTCTCCTGGATCAAGTGCTGCGAGAGAGGTGAAGCACTCATTTCATGCCTTTGTGGGGTCTTGTTTTCCCCTTAGAGCAGACTCTTGGCTATGCTAACAGGTCTGCTCCATAGCTGTGAAAGGAACCAAGCCATTCTTACCCTCTGCAGCTCTGGTTGCATCAGTTTGTCTCTGTTTGACGTGCATTGGGGTCACGGCAGTTTTGGAGATCAGCAAGCTGTCCCTAAGGAAAAGGGAGAGGCAGTAAGCAGTGTATGTAGGGGGCTGAAGGAGGAGTACATCCTGGGATAACCAGCAATTTGATAGCCTCAGGTACTGGGAAACATCAGGGCTCATACCGTGCTCGTTGGAATCTGTGCAATACTCTTTGCCCTGATCTTGTCTTTGTTATGAGAGCATCCTTGAGCATCCTTATCCGTGAGCATCCTTTGCATCAAAGAAACTCCCCCAACTTAGGAGGGAGTTCTCTGCTCAGTACTGGATCTTGTATTAGTCACTGGGATGGATCTGGCCCAGCACCTCTGGTGTGATGGACACACAGACATGGTAAACTGTGCACTGCCTGTGTGTGGCGTGGATCAAACGGGCTCTGCCGGGAGGAGTTTTACTTCTGCACTGTGTAGGTAACTTTGTAGTGATCAGAGGGCATTAGAACCCCCAAGTTTTAGGTGAAACACCATGGGGTGGTGTCTATTTACAGAATATGCAACCTGTGACTGCTGTAACTGAATGTAAGCACTCTTGAAATGCTCTGCTTTGCTGATGCAATTGTCTTAAAATATAGCAAATGAACCAAAATAAGTAAAACTGGTCCAATGGCTTAACTGTCTTTGAACCTTTCTTAAATGCTTGCATTGGCTGAGACTTAATGATGTTTCTTGCACTTAGAGCTGTAATGCAGAGGAATTATTTTCTCTTCACTGATTTTCAATCTGTTAGAGAAAATATTTCCCTTTTTTGGTCCCTTTGTAGAGGGTCTGGAAGGATGGGACCTGTTCACTCCTCAGAGTGAACTCTTAGCACTCCAGACTAAGACCAAGGCTGGTGTCATAAGGGAAGGCTGTTCTGACAAAGTTTTTAAGCAAAAAAACTTGTTTAATTGTGAAGCTGCATTTGCGTGCTCCTTGGATCCATCTGCATTGCTGAAAGGGTTCTGGACAAACTGTTCTCTTTGCTTCTAAAACCCAGAGATACTGATGATGTCAGTCATGCGAGACTTACAAATGTGAAGTTTGTAGCTTTAACTTTTTTGTAACAAAGAAATTAGCGACACTGGCATAAACTGCTGACTTGAAATGCTATTTTGTAAGATCTGGCTGTTTGTATATAATAGTGTTGGGTCTTTAGTTTGTATATGTATGAAACAGTAACTTTTATTGCATTCCTCTCAGTTTGATACAGGAGATTTTATTTGATCTTTCTCAAATATCTTGCCTTATTTGTTCAAAGGGGCAAATAAACTGTCCCTACCTGAAAGCATCAGGTAGTGTCGTGACTCACGTTTGTGCATTAAAATACTTTGGTGTGTTATTGCTTATGAGGATGAGCTTTAACATGGTGTACCTCTAGTCAGCCAATGTTATGCAACATTCTGGAGGAGAGTACAAGCTTTCAGGAACACAGGCAATAAACACATCAGATAAACATTTTGGAACAGGCAGTTCCCCACAGTGAGGAGCATGGGCAGCCCTGCCTGGAGCCCCACTCGTGCAGGAGAGTCATTTGCCCCACGCTGTGCTCTGGCAAATGGGGATGCTGAACTCTGCTGTAGGTCCCTGCTGTCTCTGCAGCAACTTCCCTGAGCCAGCAGTCAGGTTTGGGACTAGGTACATATCAATTTATCCACCTTCCTACACAACAGGTGAGGCTTGAGGCTCACTCCCAATTCTGGCTCACTTTGAGCTTTCTAGCTCAGAAAAAGATGAAGCTGACAGTGAGTGGGTGCTGCCTTCCAATGGTGAACTGTTGGCTTCAACGTGGTTTCCCTGAGCAGTTACTAAATCTGTCCTGGAGGGATGACTAACGGGAGCAGAGACAGAATTCATTCAGGAGTCAGCTTTGGTTAGCAATCCCGGAAGAAACAAAGTAGATGTGAGCTTTTAAATGCTCGGAAGGAGCGTGGAAGTGAAAGGGAGGGAGGCTGCAGGCATTTCTAGTAACTGGGAAAGCCTGGAGCTCTCCCATATCCTCAGCATTGTTACCAGCATATTGTGGAACCCCAGAACAAAGGGAGGGTTGTGTTCCCAGTGTTGCCATACCAGGGGAGTGTTCATGTGCTCCCTCCCTGCTGGCAGCACTGCACCTGCTGCACAGGTATTAACTGCATAAAAGAAACAGAACCAACACTGGCAGGTACCTGTGAGCTGGGACTGATGTTTAGCCAGGTTTTTCTCCCCGATTAATGGGAAAAGTCAACTCTCCACTAAACCTGTAGGATCAGCAGTTATTAAGAATAATCAATACTAAAGGACAGGGGCTGCTGTGCCAGTGTCCTGTATGCCCAGCTACTCATTTCCTACACCCTCATTTTGTCCCATTTCCTCCTGTGCACAGGCCAGAGGAGTCTGAGCTTGGATAAATGCTGTGAGCATTGGCTGACAGCCCTGCCTCGAGCGCTGACAGCTTTTCATTGCGCTAATCACTCTGGCAAAATTTTGAAGGGTCAAACCGGGAAACAACCATCATCTCTTTCTAGACTGAAAGTTAATTGTCCTTTAATTTAAGAGCCCAGGAAGGTAGCCAACGTGTTTATAAAGTTTAAAACAGTTCATTTCCAGCTCTGAAGGACAGTTTGTTCCGCTCCCCTCTAGGTTGTCGCTGTTCAAAATCAACAGAGCGCTGGAAGCGGAGGGAGCCCAGAGTCCCTGAGTCCCATCCTGAGTGGTGAGAGCAGCACAGCAGCCTCTTACCTCTGCACAGGCATCAGGTGGCTGAGCTGAGGGTGGGGTGGACTTTCCTCAGCCCGAGGGGCTCACAAGCTCTGGACCATCACTCCTTCACCACAGAGGGGATGGTCTTGAAAAAGGCACGGGGCAGTTTTCCCCCTCTGCTCTCACCAGACTTGAGGTGTGGGTGTGAACATGCAGATGATGTGAACATCACTGGTTTTGTGCCTCCCTGCACATCTGACCTGTGGTTTTCATTCCCTGAAATGGTGTGACCTGTCTAGGCATATTTAGTTAATTCAATTCCATGCCTTCAAGGCTGTTCTTTTGGCTTTCTCAGGCACTTAGAATGGAAGCCTTGAGACTATTATGTGTTTCCTATAACTAAGTTAACAGCTGTGGTTCAGATAAATCTCTACCAGGAGGAAGTGTTTTAGCATTATTTTGTAAAACAAAAAAATAGAACTACTGCACTGTTTGTCTTTACTGATCTCCTTACACAGTTCAGCAGATAGCAGTAACACTGATTTAACACGTCAAGCAGTGTGCTCAGGCACTAAGCTTGGATTTTTACTGAGGTCAGCAGGACTGTAGGAACCTGTGAGCAGCAGAGATCCCAGAAACGCTGTCAGTGAGGAGTCTTCCCTTCCTACAGATCAAACCCTTTAAAATCTCCTGAGTGCACAGACTGTGCTCAGGGTAGTCACCGTGCTTAGAGCTGGCAAAGGAAAAGAAGTTTCAAACAGAAGTAATGAAGTTTACTTTGTCTCTTTGAGGAGAGTTGTCTAATTCTCGGCTGCATTAAACAGCTTAATAAGGTCACTCCTTAATCACCATTCCCTGGAGGCAAGAGAGTCGTGCTTTCATCAATCATTTTGTGAATGTGGAAAGCAGCTTTGTAGGAATAACCTGATAAAGTGTGTAATTGATTTACCCACTGTACCAAATGAAAACGCAGCCACTCAGGAAAACTGATTAGGGATTAGCAAAAGAACACGAGTTTCCTCCTTGCCTTAGAAATAGTAAGTCAGCCCCGTTGCTGCACAGACGTGTCTCTGCAGAGCGTGGGCTGTGATCACCCACTGCTGCTGGGCACCTTCCTGCACCCGGCTCTTCCCTGCTCTGCAGAACTCCAGCTCTGCTAGATCTGCCTGCACAGCAGTGGGAGGATTTTCCTAGTGCAGTTACTCAGAGCCATACAAATCCTAATGTCTTCAACAGAGTGCAGGAGGCTAAAAAAAGAAAACATCTCTCGTGGCTTTCCCAAACCTGAGCTTGGAGCTCTTCTGCAACAGCCCCCTCTGAGAGCTGCTGCCCCAGGGGGGATGTCCTGCCTTGCTTACAGCCCTCAAGGCAGGGGAGCTTTTCCCTTGGAAAGATCAGCAGCTTGTAGATTTTTATTTTTTTAATGGAAAAGCTCTCAAAGGAATAGAGATTAAATTCTATTTTTACCCCTGGCTCCTGTCACACCCAGCAGAGGAATGCACCTGACACAGGAAGAGCAGTGGTAAGTCCTGCCCTCCCCAGCCAGCCCTTGCAGAGCAACAGCCTAGAGATGCCCTGCTCATTTCAGAGCATCTGAGGCCACACCCAGCATCAGGATTCTCTCCCTCCCAGCTGTGATGCCTGGCTCCCTGTGTGGCTTTTCCCAGAGCCCACCAGCTCCAACCCATTCCCTTGCACCCCAGGAATGCCCCATTCCTTGAGCCTCAAGGAGGTGGGTTATCCAAACTGCTCCAGACAGGATGACACCAGTGGTCCAAGCACGAGGACAAGCTGTCACTCACCACCCAGAGCAGGGATGAGGTGGAATCTCCGCTGTGCTCCGAGGTGGTGCTGGAGCAGCTCCTGCTCACCCCAGACTGCTGATCCAGCCCCAGCTCAGCCCATGGGCTGCATGAGCATGGGCATGTGCAGCTGCCACAAAACAGAAACCAGCATCCACAGCAGGTCACTGAGGTCTTTAATAAAATATACAGTATGCATCCCATGCATAGATATAAAATTAATTTACATGCTCCTAATTATTTGCATAATGCTTTTTCATTAATAGATGTAATTTACTCTTCACATTTTAATACATTTTGCTACTGGAATATTTATGGTGAGAAGGGGAAACTCCTTCCTTTATTCAAGTAACAGTGCAGCGGGAGCTGGTCAGAGCGGACGGAGCCACTCCCCAGCCCCAGCTCAGAGCAGGACTGAGCGCAGAGCAGACCACAAACCATCGATACTGGAAGACTTGATGATGCCAGAAGCGTGAACACCCTCCAATCCCACACCACAGGTCCTTGGGGACCCTCCCCGAGTCCCACTGGGGTTCAGAAAGCCTGGACCTGCACTGGTGTTGATTTAGCTTTCCTTGCCCGTGATCAGCAGATCCAGCACCGGCAGCTGTGGCTGTGCCAACACCCAGCCAGGACAGCCAGCAGCAAACCCCATGATGCAGGTACCTGGGGTCATCCTGCAGCCACCAACGTGGTTTTGAGCTGATTTGGGGATTGCAGGATGCACATTTCCCCTGCTCAGAACAGGCATTGCTGGGTGTGTTCCTCTGTGCACAACAGAGCTGCACAGTTTCCAAACAGAGAACCATGGGGGCAAGGAAAAACTCCACAGGGAATTAATGCTGTGCTGGGAGCAGCCCCGAATGTGCTCAGGTGGGCTGGGGGTCCAGGCAGGAGGGCAGTCTGGTGCTCTAGGCAGACCTCCCTGCCTGGCTGTGAGGTGCTTGGTCACCAAGGAGCAGTGCAAGGTCTCCTCTGTCCCACGGACATGGGGGTGCCCCCTCCGGGCAGAGGAAAGGTGAGTGCATCATCCCCCGGGGAGCTGAGCTCCCTGGGGGACAGCGAGGACACCCAGGGCAGTGTGGCCCCCCACTCCTTACAGCCCTCCTGCCCCTGCCTGGCCCTGAGGCAAGGAGGGAAGAGGCAGAATGAAGCCAGGCTGGGGGCTGTGGTGAGGGGGAACAGGCTGTGTGCCAAACCCGGCTGGCTTTGGTTGTGTCTTCTACCCCACCATGGCCTGCTGCAGCCCCTGGGCTCCCGTGGCATAGGAGCACCGTGGAGGGAAGGGATTGTGGGGAGAGCCCCACTGGAGATGGCTCCTCAGTTCCCCAAGCTTGATCCCCTTTGGCTGCTCAGAGGACAACATTCCTTTGGCTGGTCATCCCTGGCTGGTGCCCCCCTGCATGGGCAGTGCTCCTGGCTTTGCCATGCCCCAGCCCCAGATCCCTGGGGATCCCAGCAGTGGCAGTACAGGCAAGCAGATAAACCCCAGTTGGAAGGAAGGTGAGGTCCAGTCGACCCCACTGCAGGGACTGAGGACAGTGGGGCTCACCCTGAGCTGACACCACCTCTCCCCTTATACAGACTCACTTCCAGCCCCCTTTCCTTTATGGCTGGGGGGCCAGTTGAGCCTTTTGAGGCTGTTTCCAGCAGGGGGTAGGACAAGGCTGGGGCTGGAGTTGATGCTGACCTGGCAGAGGACCTGCAAGGGCAGCCAGCTTGGTCAGGGGCTGCCTTACCCTCGAGCTATTTAGCCTCACCCTGGACAACACACAACCTCCTGGCAGAGGGAAATTCCCCTCTACCCAGCTGGGGCAGTGCCT